TAAAACTTGTCAGCAATGGGAATGGGTAGTAGGTAGTTTTAACATTTAAATGAACTCTCACATAACTTCCCTATCAGAGTCTATGATCCCTTTTTAAAAGGCTGGAGGGTTATATGTGGTATCTAACACATGAATCCGTAATAGAGTCAGTCAGCTTTTCTGATTTTATTTTTTGTATTTTTAAAAAATCTATGCTGTAGGAATAAATGGGAAGAGAAAAACTAATGTTAACTGTTTCTAGTTTGTTGTAACTATGTCAACAGCCTATCATAGACAAGTCACCAAGCATGAAACTGAAAAATGCATATCATTTAAAGCAAAATCCACTTGTCCTTTTGTAGATTCATACCTAGTGAAGACTAAGATCATTGGAAAGCTGGAGTGAGAGTGACAAATGGAGCAGAACTGTATTGTTCAATGTTGTGAATGGATTTATTTACTTAAAAACATGTAAAAACAAAACATTTGGGGATCCGCATGTCATAAGGTGAAATACATTTTATAAAGTATATTGTTATCACTGTGTCTAACTACCAGCTCTCTTGTGGTACTCTAAGAAATAGCAGTGAGGGCCCTACCTGGTAGTGCAGCGAGTTAAAGCACAGCACTAAGAAGCTTAAGCCACTTCCTCATGAGTTCGATCCCCGCCTGCCCTGGAGGTGATCCACCTGGCGAGGCAGACCTCTCCTGACCCGCCCGCTGCTCCCCTCAGCAGTGTACTTCGTCGATCTGCCTGTTCTGCTCCCCACTCTGTCTCTGGTGAAGCCTCTCACCGCCCCTGCACCTCTGGCCTGTACCCCAATTCTGTATGCACAAATAAATAAATCTTTAAAAAAATAAAAAAATAAATAAAATAAAATTAGGCCCTCCCAGGTGGTGCAGCGGGTTAAATCACGGCACTGAGAAGCTAAAGCCACTTTCACATGAGTTAGATTCCCACCTGCCCCGGAGGAGATCCACATGGCACGGCAGACCTTCCTACCCGCCCGCTGCTCCCCTCAGCAGTATACTTCGTGGATCTGCCTGTTCTGCTCCCCACTCTGTCTCTGGTGAATCCTCTTACCCTCCGCATCTCTGGCCTGTACCCCAGTTCTGTATGAATAAATAAATAAATCTTTAAAAAAAAAAAAGAAAAAGAAATAGCAGTGAAAGCTGCTCTGAGGAACAGCAAAGCCTCGGACTAGTCAAGCATGAATGCTAAATAAAGGGCACTGACACATAATAACATGTAAGTGGGGCTGTTGGTTAAGAGAACCCAAACAGGATTTTTTCTCTTAGGTTTCTTAGAAAGTTGTTTCTTATTCTTTCAAATGCTGTTCTCTTGGTACAAGTTATTGATAAGGTTGAAAGGAAAAGAGTCTTTTTTTTTTTTAAAGTTCAGTGTTACTGTTCCTTTAACACATTTCTGTTAGTCATCAAAGAAAGAAAATCAACCAAATTGTTTGCTTTAACAAACGTTTTAAGAAATCCTTTGGGGTTAGTTTTTCCTTATCTTTAAAAAAATTTAGGTTAGACTACAGCAATACAAAGAAAAGACTAATCCATTGTATGGTACAATTTAAGTGATTTTTCTAAAAAGCACAGTGTCATTGAAAAAACATTTGTAGCACACATCGAAGTTTTGAAGGCCAAAGAAATTGAATGGAATATTAAAGACATTTTAGGCTTATATTTACATATCTAGTAGATTTTGTGTATCAGAATAGCAGATAGAAGTGTTTCACTTATGAGAGATTTTAGCTCACTTTCCTTTGTTTTTAATTGTAAATAGTCTGAATTTCTAATACTGAAATTAGTTCCCTCCCACAATATTAATATATCAGTATTTCCTTAGCTTGGTGAAGTTAACCATATCTTTAGATCTCTGATATGACATCCAATAGGACTGATAACATAAACTTCAAACAAATAATATCCAAAGTTAAACTAAATTTCAATTAATTAGCAAGATTGTAAAGTTATGTGTATTAACTTGTAAGACAATACTGGCTGATGTCAATGTTACAAAATATACCATAAATAGTTGCTAATGAGAACAGTTTAAGAAATTCCCCAATTACCTTTCTTCTTACACTAATTTTGAGAATGAATGTAAACATGAGCCTATTAGCTTTTTAAGTGTCCTGTGGTTGCATTTCTTAAAATAATTAAAAAAAATTTTTCTTTAAAAAAAAATTTCTTTATACTTTTCATTAGCTAAAAATCCTAGAATCATCCTTGCTTTTAGTTTTGTATTCTTTAAAGTGAGCATTTAGTTGCTGAGCCAATTGGTCATTTTTTCCTCATGTCTTGTAAGTAGTAACTAATCCTTAACTGTGAATAAATTACCAAAAACTTGCTGAGAATTGCATTTTCAAGCAGCTTGCCAATATTTGAAGTGTATACATACTTGTAGTTTTGTTAAAGATTGTGTAGTGCTAAGAATGTAGCCATTGTTTAGTAGTTGTTAAGCATTTTTGAACCTAAAAGTTATTGACTATCGTTGCTTTTAAAAATAAGAAAAGATTGCATATACATCAAAAGCCATGTATCTCTATTCCCAATTATTTTAGAATCATTAGATAAAGCAAAGGGTTTGCTCTTTATGATGTCATACTCCAGAGATATTAAACTTTCTTGGTCTTTAACATTTTTTTTTGTAATAACGTGTTGTTTCTAGCCAACTTCCAGCATGTACAGTGATCAACAGTTTTGTTTAATTTTGAATTGATAGTTGCAAAAGAAAGATATTTAGTGTGGCTAGCAAGACAGCATGTATTCTAAATCTGAAGTTTCTATAGTATCTTGCAATCTGTTAGATATGGAACTTCAATTTCTTCTACAGAATTCTTTTATAAGCACCAAGCCAGTGTGTCTTTCCCTAGTGCTTACAGTACTTGCTATGCTTTGCAGGAGACAGTTTGCCTGGGTAATTTGAATAAATAGTTGTGCTATTTTGCTTACCCATACAAATGAGTGCTCCCTTTCTCCCTTTTTCTCCTCCTTGCCTATCTTCCAGTAAGACCCTAAGCTGCCATATATCAGCATGAGTAATTGTTTTCTAAAGGCCATGTTCTGGACATACATTTACCTAGTGAACAGTTTTCTTGAATTTCTTCTCAGTTGACTACCAGTAGGTATTTGTGCAAAAAGTTGTTAGCTTTTCTCTTCTTACCTCTCAGTTGATGCTAGCTAGAGCTAAGCAGAGGCAGCATTTTCTTGATGTGGTGCTTGGATTGAAATACCACAGTAAGATAAACAAACTTGACCTTCCCTAAAAGTAATTTTTGGTGCCTGTCTACCCTGTGTTGAGTTGGAAATTGAAGCTTGAGTTGAGATTGTTAAGAAAGATAATGTTTTGGGGTCTTGAAGCTCTTTACCATTTATTCTGTGAGACATGTCTATAAGGTAATTTGATTGCGGTAACGTGTGATATATATGAAAGGTAAAACTTGTCAGCAATGGGAATGGGTAGTAGGTAATAGAGGAGTTATTACTTATTTTCAAATAAGTTAAAAAAAAAAAAGAAAAATGAAATCTGACCAAACAATAAATATCTTTAACTTGATTTACTGTAACATCATTGCCTCAGTTCTGGTAATGTGGCAGGCTGTTTCTCTGCTATCTGTAGGAGAACATTATAGGTAAATGCCATACTTGCTGCTCAGCCATAAATCTCAGGCTTTTTACACTTGAGAAAGGAATGCTGTTGATTCCAGTTAATTTAACTTCTTTCTTTTTATTATTAGTGCTCCGGTCCTTTTGAGAATTGGAATGTGAAAAGCAATGTGGCAAATATTAGGAGTGGGAAAAGCCATAGGAAAATAATCTGAGGTCAATTTACTTTTCTTTTGGAGTTGAGCAATCCTTTCTCCAGTGCTTGGGCTCAGATCTTCTGAGTCAAGCTGGCAGAGGGAGAAGGTGGCTGTCACTACTACATTATCAAAAGCTCTCATGTTATGGGGATCCCCTTGTGGGCATCTATAAACAGGGGGCTTGTGCTCCCCAGAGGCCTACTTGAGTGACAGCCTGAGCTTCCAGAGATTGGACAGGATGAGGGTGACCTCACTGAGGTGGGGCAGATGAAGTTGAGAACTAGTTCTTGGTCATGTGGCTGAGTTCTTTGGATGGCAGGGCATCTTCTGCTAAAAATGTCAGTAAGATACTAAGGGCACAGAGGCCTGGTATGGGGAACATTTATTGATTATAACACAGGCCAGCTGGGGGGATCCTCCTTAGTCCATATACCACCAGTTGTCAAACAGAGGTGATGGGAGAACCCCACAGATGCCACTGCAAAGAAAGACTGCAGTGTGCCTAGCAGTGGTTTTGTTCCATGATATTTTTAAGTGTACCCCCTTAAAATGTGCGAGGATTTCCCAGAGTCTAGGTAAACTGGTGGGGAAAAAACCCAGAATGTGGGTTACTATTGGTCACATGTTAATGTAATTTCATTGGCCTTCAGACTGTCAGTCCCAGAGAAATTTTGGTTACATAAAAAAGGAAAAGCATACTGTAGTTGGCAAACAAAATGTGTCTGTGTGTGAGTGTGTGTGTGAGAAATGAGCTTTCATTTAGAAGCTTTGGCAGAAGTTTCAACTGGCTCCCTATCACTTTTTAAATGATATTTTCTGAGCCTGGAAATCAAGCAGGGAGATCATGGAATTCTAGCTGGCAATATTTTTTTTTAAAATGTAGGCTTGCAGTGAAAAAGGCAGGGATTTGGCTGGGAGGCCTTTCTGGGCTTCAGAGCAAACCAAGGAGGGTTACTATGGTGGCAATTCTGTTTATATAAATAAAGGTTTTTTTCCCTGACAAACATACTTCATATTTAATAAACCTCAATCCACAGGGACTTCTCTTTGTGTGTAGCTAGTGCATGCCATAGACCTGGATAGAATTCTTTTATTGTGTGTAGTTTTTAGGTACCCGGAACACTTCAAGATGAAGTGTTAAGTACTAAAGTGGAAGGGTGAAAGGTATTTAGTGACTGGAAGAGAGATTAATCTGCAATATTAAAATGTGAAGCAGGGTTTTTTTTCAGATTCAAACTCTTATTGGACCAGTCTACACTGAGTATTCATAAATACAGACTGTCACTTCAGTTCAGTTCACATGCCTGAGTAAATTCTATTCTATATACCTAACTTTTAAAATCCCTTATAGCACTGTAACCCTCCCAGACAGTCAAGCTTCTTAGAGCTGTGGCCTGGGAACTTGCTTCCTTGTTAGTCCATATCCAATCA